GGGGGGGGGAGGTTCCTGTGTCCTGCCGGGGGTGGCCTCTTTTCTTTTTTCTTTTTTTTTCCGCCCCGCCCCGGTCTATGCTCTCCGGATGCCATCTCCCAGCTGACTCACCTCCTCTCGCGATTGCCACGGCCCGGGGTGTGCACTGGTGCCGGCAGTTTGCGGCCCCGCCTGCTTGGCCATGGTACTGAACACCTTTGGCATCGATCCCGGGCGCAAGTGGAAGGGCAATTGGCGGTGGTTTTCCGAGGAGATGCTCGACTGCTGTGCTCCCCGGTCGCGGATACTTGAGAGTGGCATCACATTCAGCGAGTTTGCCTGCCTTGCCCAGTGCAATGGCCTCCATGCCGAGTCACACCTTGCCGAGCAAAGGTACGCCCCCCTAGCTCGCCAAAAGCACATGCCGCCATGGCCATCCTCGGCCATCCCCCCCCCCCCCCCCTGCCGAGAATGAAAGCCCCCTCCTCATGCGTGGATGTTCCCCCGGCTGGCTTCCTCCTCCTGCTACCGGGCCCCCACCCTCTCGCGCTTCTTGCTGATGATCGTGTCGCCCCCGCCCCCGCCCCCGCCCCCGGACACCGAAGCTCCTACGAAGAGTTCCTCAGCGCCATCAAGCGCGCGTGCTCCTCCGAGGACACGGTTTGTGTCATTTCCTACTCGCGCGCCACTCTGCAGCAAACCGGCGATGGGCACTTCAGCCCCATCGGCGCGTATGATCCGATCGAAAACAAGGCCCTTGTGCTGGACGTCGCCCGGTTCAAGTATCCCTCCTACTGGGTCCCGGTCGACCTGCTGTGGGAGTCCCTCCGGCCGTGTGACTCGGTCACTGGCCGCTCGCGAGGGTACTTCCTGCTGAGTCGCTCATCCTTGAAGTCCGGCTCGGTGGAAACCCTCGACCGGCTGGGGCTCAAGCTGTCGGAATCCTGGCCGGCCATCGCGGCCACCCTGCGCGATGTGCGTTTTCAACTGGAACAGCAGGCCCTCGAGGAGGCTGGCGCTTCGTCGGGGACCCCGCTGCCGGAACACTCGCCGGTCCTGTCGCCCTGCAATCTGTCGGCCCCGGGCACCGCTGCGGCCGCGGCCGTCGTGGCTGCTACCGCCACCCAGGCTGGGGCTGCCGCCGCCGCCGCCGCCGCCGCCGCCGAGGCCGAGGTTCTGGCCCTGCGTCGAGCCTTGGAACTTGTGACGGCCAGCGTGCTGGCGGTCCTGCCACGCATGGCCCCGGTCCGGCTGCCGCCGGCCGCCCTGGCCACCGAGCCCACCCCCCTGGAGCTGGATGCCATGGCGCATCCACTTTATCCGATGGTGGCCAGCCTGGTGCAGGCCCACTCGCTGGATGTGCTCTTCCCCCCGGGGTCCAATGGCGGGGGGGCCGGTGCTTCCCCCGACATGAGCCCTCCTCTTGACGTGGCCACCCTCACGCCCTGTCGGCTTGCCGCGGCGCAGTCGCTCATTTCGGCGCCTCACCTGCTGGCCCTGCTGCTGGCCGTGCCAAACTGGCTGTATCCGCGCATCCTGGTCCGGGTATTCGAGTCCTCGCTGCCGCTGGCGGTTGTCGCGGACCCGGCCACCGCCACCGCCTGCCAGGACGCTGCCGCTGCCGCCCCGCGCCTGACCGCGCTGCTGGATGAGATCGGCCACCTGCGCAATCACATTGCCTCCTTCGAGGTGCTCAACGAGTGCGGCTGCAAGTGTCCCTCCACCAAGACCGGCAATGTCCCGGTGGCGAGCAAGCGCCTGTCCGATCAGTGACGCGGCCATGTGCCACAAAATCCATATGGGCATGTGTCCCCTTCCTCCCGATGGCCTTCTCCCCTCCCCATGTTGGCACCCCCGTGTGCATGTATGTCTGGACATACACCCACACCCACATGCATACATGCATGCATCTACACGCACACACCCATTCGCCACCGATCCCGAATACCAGGGGGCAAGCCCAAGACCGAGAGGAACAAAAGGCGTCCATATGCTCTGTTGTCCTTGTGCCGGGGTGTCCCAAATACAACCCGACTATGCCATCCATCCATCCATCAAGACCGTGGCCATACTCTCGCCCTCTGGACTTCGCATGCTGAGAGGGCCTCACCACGGGGACGAGAGAGGCTGACACACCTGCGAAACACCACCGGCGCACATCAGGCGTCATGAGCCAGGTCGCCCAATCCTGGCATAAAAGGCGAGGCGAGGGGGGGGGGGAGGGGGGCAGCAAGAGCGACAAACCATGCTTTCGCCGAGACCGAGGCAGGCGCGGATCCGGCCAGCAGGCCACGATCTCCGCCGCCCGTGCTGGCGTTCGTGCACCACCCTGCTCCGGGCCGGCGCAGGTGCCCGGGAAATCCGTGGGCAGTTGCCGCACCGTCCGTCCCGCGGTTGCCCTTGCGCCGCCGGGAAGTCGATCTCCAGGAAAGAAAAGGCAAGAGACGGGGGTCGAGGGGCTGGGCGCTGAGGAGGGGGGGGG